CCCTAAGACTAACCCACAGAATCTACAGTCTGGTCCTAAGACTGACCTACAGACTGACCCGTGGGCATTTCAAACATTTCATGAGTGGACAGTGAAGCGCCACCTTTTGACACAGCTGCTACAAATTCATTGTTTTTGCTTTGGAACTGGAACGAACGAGAGGTGGGATTCATGTGGACGTTGGCGGCTGCTGCAACTGCAGCTGAACACTGATGTCACTGACGAGGTGCATCTTTGAAGCTTCAAATCTCTTCCTGGTGCAAAAGTAGAAGAAACTTGAAATGCTTCATCTGCCCGTCTCTAATAAAAGACAACGGCTGACAAGGCAGCAAAAAACTTACAAAACCTCAGGGGATCAGAGAGACATGAAGGAAGAAACCAGATTGTGGTGCGAAGCCAACAATGCACTGCTGAGGTGGAGATGGAAAGAAGCTGAACGTAAGAACTAAGGATGAGGAGGAGACTGACTGCAGCTGAGACTAATGAGGAATAAGGAACAGATGATGTGTATGACACAGGAAACAGGAGCTGAAAACTAAACTAGACAAAAATCAATAAACCTAGCCTAAAAACACAGAAGGTACAGCTCCTGACACATGATAAATACATTGTTGAGTAATATTTAATGTAGTAAACATTTGTTTTTCTTGTGAGCACGTGTGTGAGGGGATTCAAATAAACTGAATCATTAACAACTTGGTCTTCTCGGACGAAAAGTTCAACGTCATCCCTGCACACAGAAGAATTCCCCGTTTCCTACCTGGCACTGGGATTCTTGTCTGTCCTGTTCTGAACGATGGCTCGGATGTCAGCCCACAGAGATGGAACCATGTTGGCCACATCCTCCACAGCCGAGAGCTGGATACCGTCCACACCTTCATTCAGCCAGAACACCAGGGCGGACTAACAACATGCAGACAGGTTTTACTGAGCTGGTGTTTTACAGTATAGACACTTTTTAATGCTTGTTCAAAACTGACAGTTATTCCAATACTTAAAGATGGAGACAAACATCCTTTCACCAATTACAGGCCAGTATCATTCCTCTGCCAGTTCTGCTGTTCATTCAAAGGATCGATGCCTTCATCAAAAACCATCACATACTTTCAGATTGTCCATATGTTGTCAGAGAAAACAGATCCACATCAACAGCTGAGAAAATGAACAATGGCACAGACAACAGCAACTTTACATTTGGGGTATTTTTCAACTGACATCTGAAACCCTGAATCACGGCATGTTCATGCATAAACTGGAAAGGTATGGAATTATGGGAGTGGTGCTAAACTGGCCAAAAAGATACATTCGCAACAGAAACCAGTTTGTTTGAATCAGTGATCATGAATCGCTATTAAAAAAACATAACTTATGGGGTACCGCAGGGGTCAGTGTTGGGCCCGAAATGATTAATAATGTATATAATGAAAGAACAAAACAGATAAAATTAAATGAAGTTTGAGATTTAATTACTGGGTGTGACACGGGGCCATAAATCTGCTGAAAACCAGAAATTCATCAAACAGCAAGAAAATGGTCAAAATATTGTGCTGCACTGGGGAAAGCACAGCACATAGTGGAACATAAACCACTACCACTGACGGATTTGAATAGTGAATGACGTTTTTGAGATGAGTGTTTTTCTGGACTGGAATAGAACATGGGATGTAGGTAAGCCTAAATGTTTTGGTGAAAGATATTCAACTGTGAAGGAGTTACACTGTGGAGAAAAACATATATTTTAAAATTTCTTTCTTGTTCGAGGCTGCGCAGAGTGACAGATCCTGACAAGTGAAGGCAGCATTTTATCAAATGGAGGAGCCAGGGGGTGGTCATTGGTGGCCTTGGCCACTACAGATTAATCTTTGGTTACTCCGATCATTTGAGGAAACTATATTTATAAGTGATATGAAAACCAGACTGCATAGCATCCACAATTGAAGGGGGTCAGTTTAACTCAGTGCAGTTAAGTATGCCATGGTATGGTACGTATGATATAGTATGATATAGTATGGTTTAGTTTGGTACAGTATGTCTTAGTATGCCATGGTATGGTACATATGATACAGTATGGTTTAGTTTGGTACGGTATGTCTTAGTATGCCATGGTATGG